AGCAGATTACACATATTTCTCAGGAAAATATAAAACATGGTCACGTATTGATATGGCCTGGGCCACAAATACACTAAATTTAAGACTGAAGCACATTAAGATAATTCCCAGACTATTCTCTGACCATTGCGCCTTAGAAATAACAATAAAGGGACAAGAGACTCAATACAGATGGCGATTAAAGGATTATTTGTTATCCTCTGAAAAAGATATAGAAAAAAACAGGAAACTATTACAAGAATACTTAGACTTGAACAATAGGGAAGAAACAACAAAAACCATGCAATGGGAGGCCATGAAGGCAGTGATGAGAGGCTATTTCATCCAGCAAGAAAAGATTAAAAAGGCAAATAAAAACAAAGAAATTAAAAGAATTATGGAGGAATTAGGGAAAGAGGAACAAAAATTAAAAAAGAATCCAACAAATAAAAAAATAAAATTACAACTAGAAATACTTAGAAAACAATTGAATTTAATAGAAACAGAAACCTTAGATAAACAATTGAAATTCTTGAAATTGAATCATTTTCAAAATGCAAACAAAATTGGAAAATGGTTATCAAACAAATTGAGAGAACGGAAACAAAAACAATATATTACAAGGATACAATCCGAAGGAAAAATTTATACGGAGAGTAATGACATCATAAATAAATTTACAAAGTTTTACAAGGAGCTTTATAAAGCCACCAACATATCCAAAGAGCACATAACAGAATACTTAAGTCAGTCCAAATTGCCAAAACTAACAGAAAAACAGAGGGAATTAATCAATGGCCATATAACAGTAGCAGAAATTGATAAAGCTATCCAGAACTTAAAAAATAATAAAGCACCAGGACCAGATGGGTTCACCTCAATATTTTACAAACGATACAAAGACGAACTAACCCCATTATTGCAACATATATTAAATAATGTACTTGAAAATAAAGTAATTCCAACGACATGGGAAAGAGCTAACATAACACTAATACATAAAGAGGGCACAGACCCAACAGAAATCAAAAACTTTCGACCTATCTCACTCTTAAACAATGATTATAAAATATTCACGAGTATTATGGCTAACAGACTCAAAACACTGTTAAAAGATTGGATAACTTCAGAACAAACAGGCTTCTTACCAAACAGACACATAAAGAACAACACTCGGATGATAATAGATACTATTGAATATTATGAAAAAAACAATGAAAAACAATTGGCATTGCTATTTATTGATACCGAGAAAGCATTCGACAAAATTAATTGGGATTATTTAAAGTTACTACTAAAAGAAATCGACATCGGATACCATTTCAGCAATGCTGTAGAAGCCATTTACACGAAACAGGAAGCCTCTCTAATAATTAATGGACAGGAATCAAATATTACGATAAAAATAAATCAGGGAACACGGCAAGGATGCCCATTATCTCCATTGCTGTTTATATTAATAATGGATACAATGATCAGAAATATAAACGAGGACCCCAACTTAAAAGGTATGAAAATCCAAAAATTCCAATATAAAGTAAAAGTTTATGCGGACGATGTAGTTTGTATCGTGGAAGACCCATTAATATATATAAACAATTGGATAAAGAAAATTGAAACATTTGGAAACCTAGCTGGCTTTAAATTAAACAAGCAAAAAACCAAAATGTTAGTGAAGAATATGGATAAAAAATCCAAGGCATTACTACAGGAAAAATCAGGCTTAAAAATTGAAAGTAAAATAAAATATTTGGGGGTGAACATAACACCAAATAATACCAACTTATTAAAGAATAATTATGAAACCCTATGGAGGTCCATAAAAAAAGACATAGATAGATGGCAACACCAAAACATCTCTCTGTTAGGTAGAATCGCCACAGTAAAAATGAACATACTACCCAAACTGCTTTTTTTATTCCAAACTTTACCAGTAATAAGAAACGATCATCTCTTTAGAAAATGGAAATCGGACATAACCAAATTTGTATGGAAGAACAAGAAAGCTAGAGTGAGCTACAAAATTTTGACAGATGAAAAAAAAAGAGGCGGACTGGGACTGCCAAACCTAAAGGCATATTATGAAGCGTGTAACCTTGTAAGCTTTAAGGAATGGGCCACACTAAAAAATCAAGAATTATTAGCTTTGGAGGGGTTCGACCTTAGATACGGGTGGCATGGGTACATATGGTATGAAAAAAGAAAGATAGAAAAGAGCTTTAATAACCACTATATAAGAACGGCTATAATCAAAACTTGGGAAAAATACAAAACAAGGTTATATAATAAAATACCAATCTGGATCTCCCCAATAGAGGCGAGGCATAAAAGACAATTGGGACCTGAAAATTGGCTAACATACAAACAAATCTTAAAAACCACAGAAGAAAGAAAACTAATCATCAAATCAATAGAGGAAATAAAACAAGTAAAACCAAATTTTACATGGTTACAATACCATCAACTATATGAAAGCTACAGGATAGATGGGAAGGTAGGCTTCGGGATTTGGGAAGTAATTATGCAAAAAGAAAGGAACTTAATCAAACTGCTATATAAACAACTTCTACGCTGGGAAACGGAAGATGAACAAATTAAAGAATGCCAGATAAAATGGGCAAAGGATATAGGACATAGTATCCTATTAAAGCAATGGGAAGAAATTTGGAATAGGAAATTAAAGTATACAGTTTCCAATGATTTGATTGAAAACTGGTATAAAATGTTCTATAGATGGCATTACTATCCAGAAAAAATTTCCAAATTCAATAGATCCATCTCAAATAAGTGTTGGAAATGTCAAAAGGAAACAGGAACGTACTTCCACCAATGGTGGTCTTGCAAAAAAATTAAGAAATATTGGAGAGAAATACATACAGCAATGCAAAAAATTTTAAAAATTAATTTTCCACTACTACCTGAAATGTATCTTCTTGGTATCTCCAACCATAAATTCAACACAAATCAAGAGAGGATATTCTTTCTGCTGAGTACAGCAGCCAGAATAATTCTAGCAAAAATTTGGAAACAAAAAGACACCCCGACAATGGAGGATTGGATAATAAAAACCTTTGACATAATACAGACAGACAGTTTATCACAACGACTGAACAACATATCAAAAAAGACAAACTGGGAGGGATTCAAAGACTTTATTACTGCCAAAAGGAAGATAAAAATCATGATAGACATTTCCAGCATTTGAAGAAACTCCAAACATTGAAGAAACGCCGGAAATCATGAAGATGTATACAAAACACCGAACATAATACTGAACTCTTTGAAGATGATGGGAAGTCACAGCACGGGGGAAGGGAGGGTGGTGACGGTAGGGGGATGCACTCAAATGTAGCCTTTCTTCTTTTTTCGAGTGTATCTATGTTATTTTATGTCTGTCTTTTTTTTTTTCTCTTCTTTTTCACTGTTTATGTAACTAAGAAAAACACCCAATAAAAATTATAAAAAAAATAATAAAAATATTTATTCAGTTCTTGTGGGTTTTTTCGGGCTATATGGCCATGTTCTAGAGGCATTTCTCCTGATTGGTTGGATTATAATGGGCTACGTTTCACCTGCATCTATGGCAGGCGAAACGTCAGGAGAAATGCCTCTAGAACATGGCCATATAGCCCGAAAAAACCCACAAGAACTGAGTGATTCCGGCCATGAAAGCCTTCGACAATACAATAATATTTATACCCCACCACCATCTCCCCCAATAAAACAAAATGTAAAATACAGTACAAGACCATTATAAATAACATATCTATCTATATAACTAACTATCTATCTATCTATGTATATAATAAAAGTCAGTGTTTGTATGCGGAGGGAGGGAGGGTGGTGTATGTGGCAGCTTTCTGATTGGCTGCCACTTTAACAAGCCACTGTGACCGCTACAAATGGTGAACCTGGACTAAACTTGGCACACATAACCCCCATGACCCACTTTACATCTTGGTGTGGTTTGGGGGAGTTGGACAATGGATTATGGGATTTGTAGTACTTCCAAACGCTTTGTTTCCCACGGACCACTATGGCCCCCAACAAAGACCGATGAAGACCAAACTTGGCACACAGAGCCCCCATGACCCAATCTACATCCTACTGCAGTTTGGAGGAGGGAGGACCATGGATGATGGGACTTGAAGTACCTCCACTCACTTCCCGAGACCATTGCGACCCTCATCCAATGACTGATCAAGACCAAACTGGGCACACAGAGCCCCCATGACCCAATCTACATCCTACTGCAGTTTGGAGGAGGGAGGAACATGAATGATGGGACTTGAAGTACCTCCACTTACTTCCCGAGACCGTTGCGACCCTCATCCAATGACTGATCAAGACCAAACTTGGCACACAGAGCCCCCATGACCCAATCTACATCCTACTACAGTTTGGAGGAGGGAGGACCATGGATGATGGGACTTGAAGTATCTCCATTCACTTCCCGAGACCGTTGTGACCCTCATCCAATGACTGATCAAGACCAAACTTGGCACTCATAACCCCCATGGCCACCTTTACAACCTGGTGAGGTTTGGGGGGAGGACAGACAATGGATGATGGGATTTGTAGTACTTTCAGACCCTTCAGATCCCACAAATCACTGCGGCCCCCAACAAAGACTGATACACAGAATCCCTATGACCCACTCTACATTCTACTGTAGTTTGGAGGAGGGTGGACTATGGATGATGGGACTTGAAGTAACTCCACTCACTTCCCGAGACTGCTGCGACCCACATTCAATGACTGATAAAGACCAAACTTGGCACCCAGAGCACTCATGACACACTCTACATCCTGGTGCGGTTTGGAGGAGGTTGGACCATGGACGATGGGAATTGCAGTACCTTCACTCACTTCCCAAGAGCACTGTGAGCCACGTAAATAACTGATAAAAACCAACCTTGGCACACAATGCCTTTCTCAGAAAAACAGGGTCAACTCAACCCAACTGCAGTAACATTGTGTGAATGCTGTCTGTTGTGATCCTCTTTCTGACTTGTTTACAGATGTTCCTGCGCCCAAATAACAAGACACACACATCTGAGGAAGGTAAGAATGGGTGCTGGTTGCAAAAATACATCCCCAGGTATGTCTCCCTAACCCCAGGTGACCCACGTGCCAAGCAAGCAAATATTGAACCTGGCCGGTGCGTAGGACGGGCAGAGTTGATCTTGGCTTAGTCTGTGTGTGTGTGTATACCAAGCTTGCCTTCCAGTATTGTTCCACGCGAAAGAGGAAGATGGCATATATAGCCTTGAGTGGGAGTATGTAGATATAGTAAAAATCATATCATAACAATCCGTCTTACCTACTTATCCATCTTATCTGTCTAAAAGTAAAAGTATGTATGAGGGTTGAATGAAAAGTAATGCCTCCACCTTCGTAACTCCTCAGCAGATGGCAGTACTGGTATGCGGCAGGTACTGGTTTGTTCAGTAGACTCTCCTCTACAGTTCCATTTTGGTGGGAAGCCTTAGCATTGAACGGTTGTGTTGTTAAAGTGCAAAGTATGGAACCCTGCGCAGTCAGTCAATGCGACTTAAGCAATGTACTGGCTTGTTCAGTAGACTCTCCTCTTCAGTTCCATTTTGGCAGGAACGGTTTTGAATGGTTGTGTTGTTAAAGTGCGAAGGATGGAACCCTGCGCAGACAGTCAGTCAATGCGACTTAAGCAATGTACTGGCTTGTTCAGTAGACTCTCTTCTTCAGTTCCATTTTGGAGGGAAGCCTTAGCATTGAATGGTTGTGTTGTTAGAATGCGAAGTATGGAACCCTGCACAGACGGTCTGTCAAAGCAACTTAAGCAACGTTTGCAGAAGGTACTGGCTTGTTCAGTAGACTCTCTTCTACAGTTCCATTTTGGAGGGAAGCCTTAGCATTGAATGGTTGTGTTGTTAGAATGCGAAGTATGGAACCCTGCACAGACGGTCTGTCAAAGCAACTTAAGCAACATTTGCAGAAGGTACTGGCTTGTTCAGTAGACTCTCTTCTACAGTTACATTTTGGCGGGAAGCCTTAGCATTGAATGGTTGTATTGTTAAAGTGCGAAGTATGGAACCCTGTGCAGACAGTCAGTCAATGCGACTCTCAGTCAATGTAGACTCTCTTCTACAGTTCCATTTTGGCGGGAAGCCTTAGCATTGAACGGTTGTGTTGTTAGAGTGCGAAGTATGGAACCCTGCACAGATGGTTGGTCAATGCGACTTAAGCAACATGCAGTCATTGAATTTTTGACAGCAGAAGGCATCACCCCAAAGGAGATTCATCAGAGAATGCAAGCTATTTATCGTGATTGTGTTGATGTGAGTACTGTGTGTCATTGGGCGGGTAAGTTTAAAGATGTTGAGGTGACACTTTCTGCTGTCAAGAATTCAATAACTGCACATTGCTTAAGTCGCATTGACGGACCGTCTCCTTAGGGTTCCATACTGCGCACTTTAACAACACAACCGTTCAATGCTAAGGCTTCCCACCAAAATGGAACTGTAGAGGAGAGTCTACTGAACAAGCCAGTACCTGCCGCATAGGGTGCTTAAGTTGCATTGACTGACCATCTGTGCAGGGCTCCATACTTTGCACTTTAACAACACAACTGTTTAAAGCTAAGGCTTCCCGCCAAAATGGAACTGCAGAGGAGAGTCTACTGAACAAGCCAGTTGACATTGTGATAAGACCCTCTCAGGACTGGAGAAGGGACATAGGGGAGGGATTGACCTAACTGAAAACTGGATTGAAGAGACCTTGAGTCAGATTCAGAATTTCTTGTTGTTCTTGTCTCGAAACACTCCAGATTGGTTTTGTCTTGACCTGGAGTCTTCTTCTTGTGTTTTGGACTAAGGGGGCGCGGGCAACCTCAAATACATGTTGAAGCTAGATCTGAAGCCCTGAAGGGTCCAGCTGATGGCCCTGGTGTCTTCTCCCTCTAGTGGTTCGGTTCCTTGACGTCTACAACCGCAGCAGCTGCCAACCTAAGGAGGCAATGGTGTCGGTGACGTCGGAGCACCCATACATGGTCAACCACATCGTGATGCCCTCCTGCGTGGCCTTAAAACGCTGCGCCGGCTGCTGCGCCGACGAATCGTTGCAATGCATACCCACCCAGACCCGCGAATTGGTCATGGAGGTAATGCACCGCGAGGAGCTTCCTTCTGGGAAAGAGAGGAGCCTGGGAGGAGAGAGCTCGGGAATGTCTTCTTGGTTTTTCCCTCTTCTGCAGGTGATGCTGACCCTCTTCCCAAACCACCGTTTGAGCCGACTGACATTTGTGGAGCACACCCAGTGCGCCTGCAGGTGAGCTCACGGGTAGGGAATGTCCCTTCAGCATGTTATTCATCCGTTCTTTTATTATTGACTTGGCCACAGTAGTCCACGCTCTGGTTACATCCCATATAGACTACTGCAATGCTCTCTACGTGGGGTTGCCTTTGAAGATTGTTCGGAAGCTTCAAGTGGTCCAACTTTCGGCAGCCAGGATACTGATACTCAGGGAGCATACAACTCCTCTGTTGCGCCAGCTCCATTGGCTGCCAGTTTGCTACTGGGCACGATTCAAAGTGCTGGCATTAGCCTATAAAGCCCTAACGGTTCTGGCTCAACTTACCTGTCCGAACACATCTCCTCCTATGAACCACCTAGGACGTTAAGATCATCTGGGGAAGCCCTGCTCTCGGTCCCGCCTGCATCAAAGGAACATCTGGCGGGCACAAGAGACAGGGCCTTCTCAGTGGTGGCCCCTCGGCTGTGGAACGCCCTTCCTACAGAAATTAGATCAGCCCCCCTCCCTATTAGCATTTCAGAGGAAAGTGAGGAGCAGGCATTTGAATAGGCAGTGTATTGAATATAGGAACATGGAACAACAGATTATGAGATTGGATCTTGATTCTACCTATGAGACGCTAATGAGATGTTATAGTTAGGTTTAATTAATTGTTTATTATGTCATTGTTTTAACTGTTTTTAACTGTTTTTATGATGTTGGGCATTGAATGTTGCTATTGTTAACCGCTTTGAGTCACCCTAGGGCTGAGAAAAGTGGTATATAAATGGAGTAAATAAATAAATACATACATATATAATATTACAGTAGAGTCTCACTTATCCAACCTTCGCTTATCCGACATTCCGTCTTATCCGACGTTCTTATCCTATGTATTGTCGAAGGTTTTCATGGCCGGAATCACTGGGTTGTTATAGGTTTTTCCGGGCTATATGGCCATGTTCTGGAGGCAATTTTTCTCCTGACGTTTCGCCTGCATCTATGGCAAGCTCCTCAGAGGTAGTGAGGTCTGTTGGAAGTAGGAAAAATGGGTTTATATATCTGTGGAATGACCAGGGTGAGACAAAGGACTTTTTTTCTGCTGTGGCTAGATGTGAATGTTTCAGCTGATCACCTTGATTAGCATTCAATGGCTTGGGAGTGCCTGGGGGGAATCTTTTGTTGAGAGTGATGTGCCTGTTTGTTTCCCCTCTGTTGTTTTGCTGTTGTGATTTTTGAGTCCTTTAATACTGTTCTTATAGTTCTTATCCTATGCCACCCTTTTCCTCCAGCATTTCCCCTTCAATGAAAGGAGTGCTCCCCAACTCTCTCTCCATTCCCAATAATTGAAAAAGGCAAGACGAGGAGGAGGAGGAGGAGGAGGAGGAGGAGGAAGAGGGAGGAAAGGGGGAAAAGAGGTAGAACCAAAAGCGGAAGCGTCCTCCCTCCTTCCCTCTGTGATGTCCACACTTCTCTTCCTCATCCAGGCCTCTCTAGCCCCCAGGTTTCCCGAACCGTTTGAGTCCCTGTTGTTAGGGACTCAGGTCAGCCATTGGGACCAAGAGAGAGAGAGAGAGAGAGAGAGAGAGAGAGAGGTTTAGCACTGCGTCGGATGGGCAACAGTAGGAGACTCCGTATTATCCAACATTTTCATTGATCCGACGTTCTGATGGCTCATTTATGTTGGATAAGCGAGACTCTACTGTATTATAGTCTGGACCCATCTAGCATGGGGCTGTATATAGAGGCGGCCCTAGGTAATTTTCAACGGTAAGCAAACAGTATTTTTGCCCCCCCCCCCCCCAACCAATCACTGATATATATTTTCTGTTCGTCGTGGGAGTTCTGTGTGCCATATTTGGTTCAATTCCATCATTGGTGGAGTTCAGAATGCTCTTTGATTGTAGGTGAACTATACATCCCAGTAACTACACTTGCCGCACTTGCTCCCTTGCCTGGCCCGCTTTGGGTCCGGAGGCGTGCCTGAAGACCCCGGCGTGTGCACCAAAAGTCAGCCATTGGGACCAAGAGAGAGAGAGAGAGAGGTGGAGATGCCCACCTTTCCTGAAGGTAGGCGCAAAAACAAAGGAGGGAGCGGAGGTGGGAGATACCTCCAGCCGGAGGGGCTCTCTCTCTCTCTCTCTCTCTCTCTCTCTCTCTTGGTCCCAATGGCTGAAGAGAAAGTCAGGAGAAGAGGCGACTTTTGGTGCGCACGCTGGGGTCTTCAGACACGCCTCCGGACCCGAAGCGGGCCAGGCACGGCTCCGCCCCTTGGCCCACCCGCGGATTGGGGAGAGGAGAGGAGGCGGGTGGAGCACCGGGGATCGGGAAAGGGAGCCGGTCATGGGGAAGGTCGAATGCGGAGAACGATTGAGCCAGGTGGAGCAGGAACGAGAGGGGCTAGGCGAGGCTCAAGGGCCCGGCCCCTTTGGGAAGAGGATTGCCTGGCAGCGAGGCAAGAAAGCCGAGGCTCCCCCCGGACTGCTAGGGCTGTTGTGAGCTGAGGGGGCGCTCCTCACGTGGCGGTCGAGGGGCATTTACAGAGGCGCCTCTGCGCCCCTGGCAAAAAAAAAGTGTTCTGCGACCACTTAGTTCGCGTAATGGACGAGCCACCCCTGGCTGTATACGTCACAGTCCTGCAGCAAGTCATATTATATCCCAAGTCTACAACCTGCACTATTTTGGACCATTTAAAACAGGGGTCCTCAAACTAAGGCCTGTAGGCTGGATATGGCCCTCAAGGTCATTTATCTGAAACGACACACACAACAACAACAACAATCCTATCTCATCAGCCAAAAGTAGGCCGACACTTCCCATATAGCAAAGGTAAAGGTTTTTCCCTGACATTAAGTCCAGTCGTGTCCGACTCTGGGAATATGGAGCTCATCTGCATTTCTAAGCCAGAGAGTCGGCATTGTCCGTAGACACCCCCAAGATCATGTGGCCGGCATGACTGCATGGAGCATTGTTACCTTCCCACCAGAGCGGTACCTATTCATCTATTCACATTTGCATGTTTTCGAACTGCTAGGTTGGCAGAAGCTGGGGCTAATTGCAGGAGCTCACCCCACTCCCCAGATTTGAACCACTGACCTTTTGAGTTTAGCAGCTTGGCGGTTTAACCCACTGTACCACTGGGGGCGCCCTATCCTCCTATAGGGAAATGTTAAACTAAACCAAGCATTGTTATTTATTTATTTATTTATTTACGACATTTATATGCCACCCTTCTCACCCCGAAGGGGAATCAGAGCAGCTTACAAGATATATATACATACAACTAGCTGTGCCCTGCCACGCGTTGCTGTGGCCTATAGTAAATCTTTTCAAAGTAGAGGTAGATATCTGGAGTATTATGAAAGAGAGGTACCTACCTATTCCTTCCCCCTTTTTCTCCCCCTTTCTCTCCTTTCTTCCTTCTCTACCTCTTTCTTTCTTTCTTTCTTCTCTACTTGGTTTCATCCTTCTCTCTTTCCTTCATTCCCTCCCCCTTTCTTCCTTTGCCTCCTTTCTTCCCTCCATGTTTCCTTCCTTCTTTCACTTTTTATTTGCTGTGGCCAACCTTCCCTCTTTCTCTCCTTCTTTCCCTCCTTCCTTCCTTCCCATCTTTCCTTCTCCTCTTCCTTCTCTATCTCTTTCCTTCCTTCCCCCTTTTTCTTTCTCTTCTGCTGTCTCTCTTTTCTTCCTTCTCTCTTTCCTTCCCTCCCTCTTTCTCTACATCTTCCCCTTCCTTCACTCCCTCTTTCCTTCCTTCATTCCCTTTTTTCTTTCCTTCTCTCCTTCCTTCTTTCCCCCTTTTTCTTTCCCTCCCTCTTTCTCTCATTTCTTCCTTCTCTACCTCTTTCCTTCCTTCCCCCTTTTTCTTTCTCTTCTGCTGTCTCTCTTATCTTTCCTTCCATCTTTCCTTTTCTTTCCTTTTCTTCTTCCTTCTTTCTCTTACTTTCCTTCCTTCCCCCTTTTTGTTTACCTCCCTTTCTCTTTCTTCCTTCTTTCCTTCCTTCCCGTCTTTCCTTCTCTTCTTCCTTCTTGGGGCTTGGAGGGGGCGGGGTTTGGAGGGGAAGAAGAAGGAGGGGGAGGGGATAGGTTTTGACAGGGGGGAAGGGGGTGGGCGGGGTTAGAAGGGGGCGGGGCTTGGAGGCGGCGTGGGCGGGGTTAGATGAAGGAGGAGGGATGGTTTTGACAGGGGGGAAGGGGTGGGCGGGGTTAGAAGGGGGCGGGGCTTAGAGGCAGCTCAGTTGTTTTGTCGTTTTGTGAGTGTGTTGTTGTGTTGTTTTTTTACTTTGATTCGATTTGTTTGTACCTTGTGGGTTGTGGTAGGTGCATGGGAATTTTGGTTAATTTCCGTTGGGGTTTTTTTGAGTTTTGCTGTCCCGTTTAACGCCCAGAACAGATTGATATATATAGATATATTATAATATTAGGATACTACAATATCAGTATTATATATTACTATATTGTACTATACCATTATATTATAATATTATTAGTAATATTACATGTAATATAAAATATATAATTATAATATCATATTATTAGTGTTAGTATTATATTGTATTATATCAGGGGTTCTCAAAGTTTTTAAACAGAGGGCCAGGTCACAGTCCCTCAAACTGTTGGAGGGCCAGATTATAATTTGAAAAAAAAAACATGAATGAATTTCTATGCACACTGCACATATCTTATTTGTTTTTGTCCTGTTGCACGCTGGGCCTGAAATAATGTCTGTTTACGGGACGTGCCTTCTGTATGCCCAACGGGATGCCGGGGTGCCTCAGCTGAAGGGCCCTTTAGATTTCCCAACACAAAGTTCTATTGAGGCTCAAAATAAGTTCAGTAAAGTTCTTTATTTGGGCTTAAATCTTCAAACAGATGAATTAAATGCTTTATAACCTTGGAAAACCAGTAGCTTACTCCATCTGCTGTCAAGGGCAGGCAACTGGTGGTAAACTGTTCCTTTCTTCCTTAGGGAAACCTTCCGACCCCTCCTTGGGCAATCTTTCTTTACCTTGCTGGCATGAGGCCCCTACTCCCGGCTCCAAGCTACTTTATGGATAGCCCGAGTGGTCCCTTACCAGACAAGGCTGCTGTAGATCTGCCAAGCTGAAAGGTGTCCTTTAGATCTACTCCACGAAGGCTGTAGGAACTGTCCTGATGCCCCAGCAAAGGCTGGCTATATTCCCCCAGCAACAGCTGTGGAACTATCATTTTACTCCCCCAGCAGAGCTGTGAGAGGTGAAGCCTTTGTGCAAGTGGGAAAGAGAATCCCACACGTCCTGCTGTTAGGCTTCAAACAGTGAGACTGAACAAAAGAGGATCCCACACGTCCTGCTGTTAGGCTTCAAACAGTGAGACTGAACAAAAGAGAATCCCACACGTCCTGCTGTTAGGCTTCAAACAGTGAGACTGAACAAAAGAGAATCCCCACACGTCCTGCTGTTAGGCTTCAAACAGTGAGACTGAACAAAAGTCCTCCTTTGCCTCCAAAACCCTGGGAAAGGGGGCGGGCCTAAGGACTCTAACGATGATTGCCAGGTTGATGGCCCTATGACTGCAACTTGGGGAAGCTACCTGATTGCAAAAAGCATGGCTTAAATAAATTCATACAAACTAGCAGTGCAAGAAAAGGAGGTTAAAATCTCCTGGCACTACTGTGCTAACATAGTAGTGCAAAAAGACAAACAAACCCCGCTTTAAACAAATATAAGCTTATTAGTATTTCAATGGGAAGTGTAGGCCTGCTTTTGGCTCATGAGATAGCAATGTTGTTGTTGTTGTTGTTGTTGTTGTTGTTGTGTGCTTTCAAGTCATTTCAGACTTAGGTTGACCCTGAACAAAGGCCGGGTAAATGAGCTTGGAGGGCCGTATCTGGCCCGCGGGCCTTAGTTTGAGGATCCCTGTATTACATTATAATATTATGAATATTATATAGAATCATAGAATCAAAGAGTTGGAAGAGACCTCATGGGCCATCCAGTCCAACCCCCTGCCAAGAAGCAGGAATGTTGCATTCAAAGCACCCCTGACAGATGGCCATCCAGCCTCTGTTTAAAAGCTTCCAAAGAAGGAGCCTCCACCACACTCCGGGGCAGAGAGTTCCACTGCTGAACGGCTCTCACAGTCATGTTCAGATGGAATCTCCTCTCTTGTAGTTTGAAGCCATTGTTCTGCGTCCTAGTCTCCAAGGAAGCAGAAAACAAGCTTGCTCCCTCCTCCTCCCTGTGGCTTCCTCTCACATATTTATACATGGCTATCATATCTCCTCTCAGCCTTCTCTTCTTCAGGCTAAACATGCCCAGCTCTTTAAGCCGCTCCTCATAGGGCTTGTTCTCCAGACCCTTGATCATTTTAGTCGCCCTCCTCTGGACACATTCCAGCTTGTCAATATCTCCCGATATGTATATACAATATATTATATTACATTATATTATTAGCATAGCACAGGAGACAAGGTGTTGTTATCACGGCATATAAATTATTATCACTGTTGCATCCCCCACAATGACCCTTCCATCTCGCCCGAAGGATGAGAAGATTCCAGCCCTTTTCCTCTTCTCTTTTCTGCTTTTCAGGTCAAAGAAGCCCCCTTACAGGTCGAACGCTATCAGGTAAAGGAATTTTCCAGAAAAAGAAACCAGAGAAGGCGAGCACAATCGGTACAGGAATAGGTTTCCATAGATATCCTCAAAGGCGACCTAGAATTTAACTTCAGCTTTTTCAGCTGCTCAAGCGGAAGAGAATGCCGTTCCCAGAGAAGCTGATTCTGTCTTGAGCAAAAGTCAAGCGGGACTGGGAAAGGGATGGATTTGCCATCCTCCAATTTGAAGGATGCAAGACATGGAGGCATTTGGGTGTGATAGGATCAAAAGAGTGTTGCTTCATCTGAAACTCTGCTTTCTCTCCCCAGGCCGGCCTGCAGACCCTGTCTGGACAGGAAGAAGCGGCTGGACCCACAGTCGTGCAGATGCATCTGCCGGAGTGACTCCAAACACTGCGAGGCACGGGGGTTAAAATTCAACAGCGCCACTTGCAGGTGGGGTTCTCTGGTTAGCATTGCCCAAATTGGGGACCCCTCAAGTTCCCCCATATCCAGTGGCTTTCAAAGCATGCCAACAACAACAATCATTAGGTTCTTGTGGGGTTTTTCGGGCTATAGGGCCATGTTCTAGAGGCATTTATCCTGACGTTTCGCCTGCATCTATGGCAAGCATCCTCAGAGGTAGTGAGGTCTGTTGGAAGTAGGAAAATGGGTTTATATATCTGTGGAATGGCTGAGGTGGGGCAAAGAGCTCTTCTCTGCTGGAGCTAGGTGTGAATGTTTCAACTGACCACCTTCATTAGCATTTGAAGGCCTGGCTGAGCCTGGGAAAATCTTTTGTTGAGAGGTGTTAAGATGTGCCTGGTTTCCTCTCTGCTGTTTCCTCTCTGCTGTTTTGCTGTTGAACAAAATGAACAAAATCTGGCTACCAGTATTAAAAAACTCTAAAATTACAACAGCAAAACAGCAGAGAGGAAACAACCAGGCACCTTTTCTCTCCTTCTTTCCCGTCTTAATAATAACGAAATAATTACGAAAATTTGGAAAAATTGTTTCGATTCTTAATTGCTCTTCACACTATTCCTGCATGGCTCGATATTGGATCGTAAGCTAATTTAAATACGAATTAATAACGACTTTAGAAACTAACGAACACGATCAAACAAGCCTAATATATACACAAGGCATGCTTGTAATATCACCAGGAATGTATTGTCGAAGGCTTTCATGGCTGGAATCACTAGGTTCTTGTGGGTTTTTTCGGGCTATAGAGCCATGTTCTAGAGGCATTTCTCCTGACGTTTCGCCTGCATCTATGGCAAGCATCCTCAGAGGTTGAGAAGGTCTGTTGGAAGTAGGAAAAATGGGCTTATATATCTCTAAAATTATAACAGCTAAACAACAGAGAGGAAAAAAACCGGGCACAGATTAACACCTCCCAGCAACAGATTTTCCCAGACTCAGGCAGGCCTTCAAATGCTAATGAAGGTGATCAGCTAAACATTCACACCTAACTGCAGCAGGGAAGAGCTCCTTGCCCCACCCCAGCCATTCCACAGATATATAAACCCATTTTCCTAATTCCAACAGACCTCACTACCTCTGAGGATGCTTGCCATAGATGCAGGCGAAACGTCAGGAGAAATGCCTCTAGAACATGGCTCTATAGCCCGAAAAAACCCACAAGAACCTAATCACCAGGAATGCTGAAAGCAAAGAGCACCAGGAACCCTATTTCTCAGAGGGAAGAGCAGGCTGAAGTAATGCTGTCCTACCTCTTTGTCATCACAGGTGTATGAATGTGCGTCACCGATCGAGTCACAGGAGAACCAAAGCAGCTCTGTAGCAGATTGGAGTCCGGACAGAAGGACTTCCGTTTTGGACTCCTCAGGTTGGTCGCTGGCATCCTTTCTCTGCTATAGAAGTGAAACACAGTGCAATTGGAGGAGATCTGCATCAACTGCCAAGAAAGGAATCACTTTGGATTGCCTCTTTTTGCCGTGAGCAAGGCCACGCCACCTGGGCCGGTCCCACACTCCCACAAAAGCCGCTTCCGCACCATCAAGACATCGAGAGAATGCCCCATCCATATTTAAAACCCTAAACTGGTCTCCTCTTTCTCTGAGTCCGCTCCCTCTTTTAATTTAATGGGAACTTTCCCTTGTTCTCCCAATGTTTTTGTATAACTATTCGGGACTTTTCTCCGTTTCCATTGCGGGATCGACACTTCGAGATGACACCCATTTTTGGTCCTTACCAGCTGTGCCGTCGCGCTTGGGGGCTATTAGTCTTAAAAGGAGGATGGACGTGGCATCTTTCCCCCAAGGGATTGCTTCTTGCCCTCCTTTAGGAAACTGGAACTCCCAAGAACCCAAAACGATGTAAATAACTCAAAATAAGTTTTATTTGTCACAAAGTCATTTCTTCAATGCAATGAACTGGAAAACTTTAGAGGGGTGAAGGAAAAACACACTTTACAGTCTCTATTAGTCCTGGGTCCAAGGGGTTTGAAGCTGAGAAGCCTCACCAGGTTTCCTCTTTCCTCAATGGTTGTGAGTGCCGGAGCAAACCACAACCCCAATTCAAATGGCCTATTTTGAAGATTCAGGATCTTCCTCTGGTGCCAAAAGAACTGGCTTGAAGGCGCCTGGGTCTCCTCAGTATCGTCCAGGATGATCTGGACATAAAGCATGAGTCCCAGGGGAAAAAACCTCAGAATTGGTGCTAAGAGGTAACTTAAAAGGGTCCTTTAGAATGAAGTCTTTTACTCACGTCCATGTTGCATGAACTCTCATGGTAGAATGAAAGGAAAAGAGAAAGTTCTCAACTCTTGCAGGAAGAGGTGGAGCCAAACAGTGCTGATTGACAGCTACAAGTAACCAATCCATACAAATATACAGACACATGGCAAAAGGGGCAGGATTAAGCATGATACAACAGTTTACATCTTACAACTAACAGATCTATACATAGGTGGCGCCACTCGCGCCGTCACACCAGCGATGAGAATGGTGTCTCCGTTTCTTGCCTTTCATCGTACGAGGGACGTTCATTAAAGGTTTCCCCTGACCCACTTCTATTTATTACAGGATGCTGAAACTTGGCCATGGTGGTTCACGCTCTCGTTACATCTAGGATAGACTACTGCAATGCACTCTACGTGGGGCTGCCTTTGAAGACTGCTCAGAAGCTTCAAATAGTCCAACGAGAGGCAGCCAGGTTAATAACTGGGGCGGCGTACAGGGAGCACACAACTCCCATGTTACGCCAGCTCCACTGGCTGTCAGTTTGCTACTGGGCACAAATCAAAGTGCTGGCTTTGGCCTATAACAGTGGTTCTCAACCTTCCTAATGCCGCGACCCCTTAACACAGTTCCTCATGTTGTGGTGACCCCCAACCAACAAATTATTTTCATGACAACTTCACAACTGTAATTTTGCTACTGTTATGAAGCATAATGTAAATATCTGAAATGCAGGATGTGTCATTCACTGGACCAAATTTGGCAAAAATACTCGATACACCCAAATTTGAACACTGGCGGCGTTGGGTGGGGGATTAATTTTGTCATTTGGGAGTTGTAGTTGCTGGGATTTATAGTTCACCTACAATCAAAGAGCATTCTAAACTCCACCAATGATGGAATTGAACCAAACCTGGCACACAGAATTCCCATTACCAACAGAAAATACTGGAAGGGTGTGATGGGCATTGACCTTGAGTTTTGGAGGTGTAGTTCACCTACATCCCGAGAGCACTGTGGATTCAAACAGTTATGAATCTGGACCAAATTTGACATGAAAATCAATATGCCCAAACGTGAGCACCAATGGAGTTTGGGGGAAATAGACCTTGACATTGGGAGTTGTAGTTACTGGGATTTACAGTTCACCTACATTCAAAGAGCATCCTGAACCCCACCAAGGTTAGAATTGGGCCAAACTTCCCACTCAGAACCCCCATGACTAACAGAAAATACTGTGTCTTTGGCGACCCCTCTGACACCCCCTCGCGACCCCTCCAGGGGTCCCGACCCCCAGGTTGAGAAATGCTGGCCTATAACGCCCTAAATGGCCCCAGCCCAAATTAAACCTGTCCAAACGCATCTCCCCCTATGAACCATCACGGAGATTAAGATCCTCCGGGGAGGCCCTGTTTTCCGTCCTGCCATTGTCACAGGCACGATTGGTGGGGACGAGAGACAGGGCCTTCTCGGTGATTGCTCCCCGTCTATGGAACTCCCTTCCTGGTGAGATCAGGTCGGCCCCCTCCCTCGTGTCCTTCAGAAGGATGGTCAAAACTTGGCTGTGGGACCAAGCTTTCGGGACAGGGCAATGAAGCGGCAGTGGGAAAGATGACTGGGCCAATTGGATTTGATGCGGATGGCTAGGACGGTTTTAAATGGTGTATTTTAATATTTTGATAAATATTTTTTAATGTTTATGTATTGTATGTGAATCTGTGTCCCGGCTGTTGCAATCCAGAGCAGGAAACGAGGCCCTAAGATAACTATCCACCACACTTGACTGTGAAAAACAATCCTTTTTTATTGAAGAAAAATGGTTACAAAATAAAGGAAAAATGCAAGTCAAAAGCCACAGCAAAATCAGCAAACATGAATTTAAATGGACAAAAACAAAACCCAAAGCCACACTGTAAAATACTGGAACCTGTTAGCAATCCACTAACCGTACTTGATATCCTAGAAATCTTTCAAGATGATGGCCAGGGAAACCGGGAGAACTGCCAAGGTCTTCATCAATCTGAAACGATGCCTGAACTGAGAAAGTCAGCCCGGCGGAAGGCACTTAAAGCCGAAGAATTGGTTCCGTGAACCGCCTCTCTGCTTTGAAGCCGTTGTTTGTATTTCTTTTAATCGGGAAGACCTTCGCAAGCTGAGTGATTTACTTCTGTCTTGCCAGATCTGGCCCCTTCTATTCTCATTAAGTTACCAGGTGCAGAAGGGAGTGAAAGGTCATGGCTTCCCTCTGAAACATTCTCATGAACACTGGTACTTTCATTTTCCAAATCTACAGAAGTTTCTTCCTCACTAATTTCAGGAGCATTGGCATCAAGAGGTACATTTTCATTAGCATCAGGAAGTACATTTTCATTAGCATCAGTAAATATATTTTCATTAGCATCAGGAGGAACAAACAGAGAATCAGGTTCAAGTTCAAACTCAGGTTGAACCCCAACACCGGCACTGAATGTTTGCCGCGTATGTGCTGTGCTCCGCCCTGAGTCTCCTTCGGGGTGAGAAGGGCGGAATATTAATGTTTTAAATAAATAATAATAAGTCTCAATAGATTACGTGCCGATTTACAACGCAGAATCATAGAATCATAGAATGAAAGAGTTGGAAGAGACCTCATGGGCCATCCAGTCCAACCCCATTCTGCCAAGAAGCAGGAATATTGCATTCAAATCACCCCTGACAGATGGCCATCCAGCCTCTGCTTAAAAGCTTCCAAAGAAGGAGCCTCCACCACACTCCGGGGCAGAGAGTTCCACTGCTGAACGGCTCTCACAGTCAGGAAGTTCTTCCTCATGTTCAGATGGAATTTCCTCTCTTGTAGTTTGAAGCCATTGTTCCGCGTCCTAGTCTCCAGGGAAGCAGAAAACAAGCTTGCTCCCTCCTCCTCCCTGTGGCTTCCTCTCACATATTTATACATGGCTATCATATCTCCTCTCAGCCTTCTCTTCTTCAGGCTAAACATGCCCAGTTCCCTAAGCCGCTCCTCATAGGGCTTGTTCTCCAGACCCCTGATCATTTTAGAACTGAGAACGGACTTGATTGTACAGGTGCTGAAGCGGAGTGAGGTTGGAAACTTTTAATTACAGTCCAGCAAGCAGGTAGTTAGTCATTGCAGGCCTGGCTCTTTTACTGGTGTTTCCAAAATTATTAGCTCCACACATCCTTCCATTCAATCCCACACATCATATAAAATCCACGTTTATAAAATCTGCACATTAAACTTTTGTGACAGACCCATTGGTAAAACCAACCGTCATTATAAATTCTCATTATAAAATCATGCCAGGAAATTATTTCTATAACAAGCCTCTTTGTACAGGTAGTCCCCAAGTTATGAACCACATGGGTTCTCAACAAAGGATTCCCCCAGGCAGTAACAAGCCAGGCTTTGAAGCTGCAAGGCCATTCAATACTAATCAAGCTTGCCAGTTACAACATTCACACTTGCCTCCAATAGATATTTAGGTCCTCAACAAAGGATTCCCCCAGACAGTAGCAAGCCACGCCTGGAAACTGTCAGTCCATTAAATGCTAATCAAGGTATTTATTTATTGTGTCAGGGGCAACCAGACCATTGTATCACATTTCTAACAGAACAAAACAAACAAACAGATAAAAAAACACAAAGTTTGCAAGCTTGGTAGTTGATTAAATGTCCTTTGACCAGTATCTGGCCACTTGCAGTGCTTTTGGTGTTGCCGCAAGAAGGTCCTCCATTGTGCATGTCGCAGGGCTCAGGTTGCATTGCAGCAGGTGGTCAGTGCTTTGCTCTTCTCCGCACTCGCATGTCGTGGATTCCACTTTGTGGCCCCATTTCTTAAGGTTGGCTCTGCATCTCGTGGTGCCAGAGCGCAGTCTGTTCAGCGCCTTCCAAGTCGCCCAGTCTTCTGTGTGCCCAGGAGGGAGTCTCTCATTTGGTATCAGCCATTGGTTGAGGTTCTGGGTTTGAGCCTGCCACTTTTGGACTCTCACTTGCTGGGGTGTTCCAGCGAGTGTCTCTGTAGATCTTAGAAAACTATGTCTTGATTTAAGTCGTTGGCGTGCTGGCTGATACCCAAACAGGGGATGAGCTGGAGATGTCTCTGCCTTGGTCCTTTCACTATTGGCTGCTACTTCCCGGCGGATGTCAGGTGGTGCAATACCAACTAAACAGTGTAATTTTTCCAGTGGTGTAGGGTGCAGGCACTCCTTGATAATGCGGCATGTCTCATTAAGAGCCACATCCACTGTTTTAGTGTGGTGAGATGTGTTCCACACTGGGCATGCATACTCAGCAGCAGAGTAGCATAGCGCAAGGGCAGATGCCTTCACTGTGTCTGGTTGGGATCCCCAGGTTGTGCCAGTCAGCTTTCGTATGATATTGTTTCTAGCACCCACGTTTTGCTTGATGTTCAGGCAGTGCTTCTTGTAGGTCAGAGCACGGTCCAGAGTGACTCCCAGGTATTTGGGTGCGCTGCAATGCTCCAGTGGGATTCCTTCCCAGGTAATAATCCTCAGAGCTCGGGATGCTTGTCTGTTCTTGAGGTGAAAAGCACACGTCTGTGTTTTAGATGGATTAGGGATCAGCTGGTTTTCCCTGTAATAGGCAGTTAAGAGCACCTAGAGCAGTGTTTTTCAACCTTCCTAATGCCGCGACCCCTTAATCCAGTTCCTCATG